CCTTCCCTGGCACATGGAGCCCCCCCATCCCTCTGACCCCAATCCCAAACTTTTCCTGATATGTGGCAGCCCCTCCACCCCTCTGATCCCCATCCCACCCCTCTCCTGGCACATGGAAATTCCCCCAACCCCTCTCATCCCAATCCCACCCTTCTCCTGGCACATGGAGCCCCCTCATTCCTCTGATCCCAATCCCAAACCTTCCCTGACACATGGAAGTCCCACAACCCCTCTGATCCCAATCCCACCCCTTCTCTTACCCTCCGAAATCCCTTCATCCCTTTTTCCCTCATCCCAACCTTCTCCTGGCCCATGGAGCCCCCTCATCCCTCTGATCCTGATCCCACCCCTTCCCCAACCCTTGGAATTCCCTCCATCCCTTTTCCTCCCCATCCCAACCCTTCCCTGGCCCACGGAGTCCCCTCATCCCTCTGATCCTGATCCCACCCCTTCCCTGACCCTTGGAATTCCCTCCATCCCTTTTCCCCACCTCCCAACCCTTCCCTGGCCCACGGAGCCCCTCTGATCCCGATCCCGCCGTCTCTTCCCAGCCTACAAGGAGAAGATGAAGGAGCTGCCCCTGGTCTCCCTCTTCTGCTCCTGTTTCCTGTCGGATCCCCTCAACAAGCCGACCTACGCCTACGAAGGTGGGACCCCCTTCCCAATCCCACCGCAGCCCCTGGAATTCCAGGAATTCCGGGATCTCTGAGGGGCTTCAACTCCTCCTCGGCATGAGCGGGGTCAGCCTTGAACGGAGCGGCAGCTCCGGAATTTTCTGGGAATTCAGCACAAGGCTGGGTTGGGATCTGGAGGGGTTTGGGCTGACCCAACCCCCTCAGCTCTCCCAAATATTCCCAGCTCGGCCCCATGGATGGGTTGGGATCCAGAGGAGATCTCGGAGCTCCTCATTACCTCATCCTGTATCCATATTTTTCAGCTCCAGGTGATTCATCCCAATCCATGTCCAGAGGCCGTGGAAGAGCCTTGGGGGGCTCCTCCAGGTTATCCAGGGGGATCTACACTGGAAAAGGGATCACGATCCCATTCCCAATTCCCAAAGCAGGGAGAGATGGAGAGACAGGATCATTCCCAAGCCTCAGCTCTCCCAAATATTCCCAACCCGACGCCATGGATGCATTAGGATCCAGAGGAGCTCTGGGAGCTCTTCATTCTCTCATCCTGTATCCATATTTTTCAGCTCTGGGTGATTCATCCCAATCCATGTCCAGAGGCCATGGAAGAGCCTTGGGGGGCTCCTCCAGGTTATCCAGGGGGATCTACACTGGAAAAGGGATCACGATCCCATTCCCAATTCCCAAAGCAGGGAGAGATGGAGAGACAGGATCATTCCCAACCCTCAGCTCTCCCAAATATTCCCAACCCGACGCCATGGATGCATTAGGATCCAGAGGAGCTCTGGGAGCTCTTCATTCTCTCATCCTGTATCCATATTTTTCAGCTCTGGGTGATTCATCCCAACCCATGTCCAGAGGCCATGGAAGAGCCTTGGGGGGCTCCTCCAGGTTATCCAGGGGGATCTACACTGGAAAAGGGATCATGATCCCATTCCCAATTCCCAAAGCATGGAGAGATGGAGAGACAGGAACATTCCCAGCCCTCAGCTCTCCCAAATATTCCCAACCAGATCCCATGGATGGGTTGGGATCCAGAGGAGCTCTGGTAGATCCTCATTCCCTCATCCCGGAGCGTGGGCTCCATGTTTCTCAGCCTGATCCCTGTCCGGTGGCCGTGGAAAAGGATTCCCAGCCAAGAGGGATCCACACTGGAAAAGGGATCACGGTCCCATTCCCACTTCCCAAAGCAGGGAGAGATGGAGAGACAGGAACATTCCCAACCCTCAGCTCTCCTAAATATTCCCAACCCGACCCCATGGATGGGTTGGGATCCAGGGAGGCTCCAGGAGCCCTTTATCCCTTCATCCCTTCATCCCATATCCCTATTTTTCAGCTCCAAGTGATTCACCCCGATCCAGGTCCAGAGGAAATGGAAGAGCCTTGGGGGGCTCCTCCAGGTTATCCAGGGAATGGGATCATGATCCAATTCCCCAAACCAGGGAGAGATGGAGACACAGGGACATTCCCAACCCCCAGCTCAGCCCCATCCATGGGAATCCCAAAATTTCTACACCACACCCCACATCCCTGAACCCCAGGGATGCATTTAGGCTAAATCTGGATGAAACTCACGGATACCAGGGATGGCGGAATCGGCTTCCGCGGGCGCGGAAATCCCGGGATGGGAATTCCCGGCGCTGATTCCACGCCCTTTTTTCCCCCACCCAGACACGGTGGATCTGACCTGGTGCGTCATCTCCGACATGGAAGTGATCGAGCTCAACAAGCGCACCTCGGGCCAATCCTTCGAGGTCATCCTGAAGCCGCCATCCTTCGACGGAATTCCGGAATTCAACGCCTCCCTGCCCCGGCGCCGCGACCCTTCCCTGGAGGAGATCCAGAAGAAGCTGGAAGCGGCGGAGGAGAGGAGAAAGGTGGGTGAATTCCCGTTTTTGGGTTCCCCCTTTTTGGGTTGGGAATTCCCCCCCCCCCCATTTTTGGGTTTCCTGTATTTGGGTTGGGAATTGCCCCCCTGTTTTTGGGTTCCCCATTTTTGTGTTGGTAATTCCCCCCCCATTTTTGGGTTCCCCATGTCAGGTTGGGAATTCCTCCTCCCCATTTTTGGGTTCCCCATGTCAGGTTGGGAATTCCTCCTCCCCATTTTGGGTTCCCCATTTTTGGGTTCCTCATTTTTGGGTTGGGTAATTCCCCCCCCCATTTTTGGGTTCTCCATTTTTGGGTTGGGTAATTCCTCCCCCATTTTTGGGTTCCCCATTTCAGGTTGGGAATTCCTCCTCCCCATTTTTGGGTTCCCCATTTTTGGGTTCCTCATTTTTGGGTTGGGGAATTCCTCCCCCGTTTTTGGGTTCCTCATTTTTGGGTTGGTAATTCCCCCCCATTTTTAGCTTCCCCATTTTTGGGTTGGGGAATTCCTCCCCCATTTTTGGGTTCCCCATTTTTGGCTTGGGAATTCCCCCCTGTCCGTTTTTGGGTTCCCCATTTTTGTGTTGGTAATTCCCCCCCCATTTTTGGGTTCCCCATTTTTGGTTTGGGAATTCCCCCCCCATTTTTGGGTTCCCCATTTTTGTGTTGGGAATTCCTCCCCCTGTTTTTGGGTTCCTCATTTTTTTGTTGGGAATTCCTCCCCCTGTTTTTGGGTTTGGAATTCCCCCCCTCCATTTTGGGGTTCTCCGTTTTTGTGTTGGTAATTCCCCCCCATTTTTAGCTTCCCCATTTTTGGGTTGAGGAATTCCCCCCCCATTTTTGGGTTCCCCATTTTTGTGTTGGGAATTCCCCCGCGTTTTTGGTTTGGGAAGAGGTGGCTTCATCCCGGCAATGTCCCCGTGGTGTCCCCAGTACCAGGAGGCGGAGCTGCTGAAGCACCTGGCGGAGAAGCGGGAGCACGAGCGGGAAGTGATGCAGAAGGCCATCGAGGAGAACAACAACTTCATCAAGATGGCCAAGGAGAAGCTGGCGCAGAAGATGGAATCCAACAAGGAGAACCGCGAGGCCCACCTGGCGGCCATGTTGGAGCGCCTCCAGGAGAAGGTGGGCGCCTGGAAAAGGGCTTGGGATGAGTCGGGATATTCGGGATATTGCTGGATCTTGGGGTGGCACCACCGGAGAGGGGGTCCCACTTCCCTTCCCGCCCAAGCGCGGCGTCCCACTGGGATTGGGGGATCCTGCCCGGGTGGATCCGTAGGCTTGGGAGAGGTCAGAGAGTCGGGATCTGGGTCTTGTCCTTTTCCCATGTCCCACCAAGGTGGGACTCAGAATCCCAGGAATTGTAGAATCCTGGGATGGTTGGGTTGGAAGGGACCTTTAGGATCATCCAGTTTCACCCCCGGCACCTTCCACTATCCCAGATTTCTCCAAGACCCGTCCAACCTTTCCTTGAACTATCCCAGGTTGCTCCAAGCCTTGTCCAACATTTCCTTGGACTATCCCAGGTTGCTCCAAGCCTTGTCCAACCTTTCGTTGGACTATCCCAGGTTGCCCCAAGCCCCCTCCAACCTTTCCTTGGACTATCCCAGGTTGCCCCAAGCCCCCTCCAACCTTCCCTTGGACACCTCCAGAGATCCAGGGGCAGCCACAGCTTCTCTGGGAATTCCATCCCAGCCACATCCCTGCCACTCCCCTTGCACATTTCCCACCTCCGGGCTGGCGGATCTCCCCCTGGTCCCTTCCCACGGATCCGGCAGCTCCCCAGCTCCGTGCTGGGAGCCATTCCCACCCTTCCAGCCCTCTTCTCTCTCCCGAATCAGGTCTGTTCCCAACCTCCGCACGGAAAATCCCACCCTCACCACCTCCAGCTCCCTCCAAAACATCCGGAGCCCGCCCAGTGCCCTTCTCCGAACGCCTCCGCCGGGGCAGAGGCGGAGAGCGCCAGATAATGCCGGAAAATCCCAGCTAATCCCAGCTCCATGGGGCTTCCCGGGACGGTTGACGTCTCCCTCGTAGCCAGAGGGCGAGGACAAAGTGTCCCCAAGTGCCACCAGCAGCCCTTAAAGTGACCCCAGGGGAGGAGAGGACGCTGGTGACCCATCCGTGGCGTCCCTCGGGATGAACCTCGTGCCTTCAACCCCTCCGGAGCCGCTGTCCGTGGGGATCCCGGAATCCTGGAACCCGGCTAACGCGTGTTCCCCTCCTCCTCCTCCTCCTCCTTCCCCTCCTCCTTCCCGATCCCACAGGACAAACACGCGGAAGAAGTGAGGAAAAACAAGGAGCTCAAGGAAGAAGCCTCCAGGTAAAGAGGCTCTGCTCGGACTGACAGCTCCGGGGAGGTGCCGGAGGCTTCCGCAGCTCCAGGTCGGAATGGTGTGGGAATGGTGGACGTTGCTCTGCTTTCTTTGTTCGTGGATGTGACGAGTTGAGGGGTGAAGCCATCGGAGTCGTCGTCGTCGTTCCGGGGAGGGTGGGGAGGGAAGGGATGAGGGCGGGATTTTGGGATGCCCACCCGGGTGGGTCCCGCCCGTCAGCCAGGTCCGGAGGGGACAGCCGAGGGCTGAGGAGGTGATCCCCGGGAGAAATCCCGGGAATACGGAGCGGGGTGGGGAGGGAATTGTGGGAAATGTGCGTCGTGTGTGACTTTAATTTGGTGCTGGGCAGGCGGGGCGGGCGGGAATCCCTCCGGAGTCTTCTCCATCCAATCCCATCCCATCCGTGGGCTGCGGAATCTCTTGGTGTCCCTCCCTCCCTTGTTCCCGCCTGGATTTGGGATCTCTTCCCGGATCTGGCGGGTTTTTTTGCCCTTCCAGCACCGTTTTGGGAAGGGGGAGAAGTTTTTTTGCCCACCACCACTGCTGGAGGTGGTCAGGGAGTGAAATTCCCTTGCTCCAAAGGTTTTTTCCCAGCTGTTGGAGACGCCCATGATCTTTCCCAAGGGTGACATTGGAAAGCCCCATGAATTCCCAAAGAAGCTTTTTTGTAAGAACCTCCCAAAAAACAATCCCGGTGGGAATTCTTGGATGAAATCCCCCTTTCCAGCTGGAAAAACCATCGGCTCCCGGAGATGGAGCAGCAGGAGAAGCCAGGGCGGGGCTGCGGAGACCACGATGGAAGGGAATGAGGGAAAATTTGGGAAAAAGGTGGAGGTGGGACGGAGCCCTGTGGAGAGCAGGGAAAAATATCCATGGGAACCCCTGGTGACACCAGGGAGGGTGGAAAACCCCCCCAATATTCCAGGAGATGCTTTTTTTGGGAGCTGCCATGCCATTCCTGGGGAATCCTCACCTCCAGGAAGGGCGGGGGAGAAGGAAAATTGGATTTTCCAGGGGGGTGAGAATTCCCTGCATTCCCAGCTGCCAGCTGGAAGCGTTCCCAGTGCTGCTGCACCCCAAAATTCCAACCAGGATGTGAACAAAGGGTTTGGGTCTCCGCTATGTCTCGATAAGACATTCCGAGCTCCGATCCGGGTGTGGAGGGAATCACGGCTCTTTCCCGGTGCCGGGAGATGCCCAGCGTGATCCCGGAGCCCCGGGGAGAATCCTGGGAAAGGGGAAAAAAGGGATTGGGGACGGATTGTGGCACGAGCTGTCCTTTTTTTTGTACACAACGGATGTAAATAAAACTGCCTTGGCCTTTCCTTTCGTTTCCATGATCCCTGCGGTGCTTCCCGTGTGTTTTTTTTTGGGATTGGGGCATCCCGGAGTTGGGAAAAAGAGGAAAGGAGGGAATTAGGGCGGGAGGCTGGGCTGGTTTTCCCCCCCATTCCCCAAAAACTGGTGGGATTGGAAGATTTGGGAGTTCCAAACTCATCCCATGAAGTTTTGCCGTCCCAGACCTGGAGCAGGGAGTTGGATCCGAATTCCGTCCGTGTGCTGGGAGAGGAGGAAACTGGGAAAGATCTGGGTGAGGTGGGATCATCCATCCATGGAATATCCATGGAACAGGAAAAAACCATCCGTTCCTCCGGGCCAGGAGGAAATCCCAGGAATTCCTGCTCTGGCTCCAAGGAGGAAGCAATGGGAAGGTTCCTCTCCCATCTTTGTTCGACCGGAAAATGGGACCAAAATTCAGGAGCAGCATTCCAGAGGGTCCAAAGTGTTCGTTCCTCCAGATCCAATCCTCTGGGAAAAGGAGATCCCGGATCCTGGGAATCTTTGAGGATGGGTTTTGGGATCCCAAATCCCAAATCCCACGGGTTTGGGATCAGACAAATCCAGGGAAAGGGGTTTGGGCTTCCCTATGGATGCAGCTGGGATTCCCGTGGTGTCCCGGTGGGACAGGAAGGGGCTGTATCCAAAGGGACCAGGAAAAGAGGGCATGGATCCACCCACACTTCCTGAAAAACCTGGGATGGTGGCAGGTTTCCCCACCCATGGAATGGAAGAGCTTTGAGGTCCCGTCCCACCCAAACCATTCCAGGATTCCAGGATCACCCCACTCCATGGCCTGAGGAATCCTCAGGAACGAGGATCTGGGGAATAATTTTTCCCCCTTCATGCCTTCCCCTATCCCAGGGAACATTGCCAGGGATGCAGGATTTTCTGGGAAATCCAGCTCAGCCAGGAATTCCTTCCCAAGATCCCACCATCCCAAGCTCCCCTTTCCCACTGGAAGCCATTCCCTGGCTCCTGGCCCCTCCAGCCCTTTCCCAAATCCCAGCTCTCCTGGAGCCTCTGGAAAAGGCTCCAAGGATTCCCTGGATCCTTCCCTGATCCAGCTGCACATTCCCGGCTCCCCCAGCCTGGATCCATCCCCATCCTGATTCCTCCTGGAAAAAGAATTTCAGGATCCAAGGGCTTTACTGGGAATCTCAGATCTCCAGGTAGTGTCTCCCTTCCCTTTTCCATCCCTGAATTCCATAAAAATCCCTGGGAATGGATTCTGAGTGTCCTTGATCCCAGAATCCCGGAATGGTTTGGGATAGGATCCATGGACCTTCAATCCCATCCCAGGGTCAGTTCCCACAATCCCAGGGTGCTCCAACCTTTCCTGGGACACTGCCAGGGACGCAGGGATTCTCTGGAAATTCCAGCCCAGCCGGGAATTCCTTCCCAAGATCCCACCATCCCAAGCTCCCCTTTCCCACTGGAAGCCATTCCCTGGCTCCTGGCCCTCCAGCCCTTTCCCAAATTCCAGATCTCCTGGAGCCCCTTGAGGCTCAGGAAGCAGCTCCAGGGATTCCCTGGAATCTTCTGGAGTTCAAGACTTGGATAAAAGGGAGGAATTTTCTCCTGGGATAAACGCTGTGGGAAAGGAAGGATGGAAGGATTCACTCCGGATCAGCCCTGTGAGATTCCCAAGGTTTGGGAATTGCCGAGTTTAATAACGTGGGAAATCAGATGGTGGATTAATAACAGTAATGGGATCATTAATCAATTAACCTGCTGCTTATTAAGTGATTAATTAATCCCTTTAGCAGGGTATTGATTATCCAGGAAAGATCATGGAATTTTGGCCGATGATCCAACGGGAATGTCCGATCCCAGACACATCTGGGAGTCTTGGGAACACCTCGCACCCTTGGAAAACTTCCAAGGAAAACCAAGAGCCAGAAAACGTTGGTTCATTCTCTTGGAATTATTTATTTCCGGGATGCTTGGAAGGCAACTTGTCCATGGAGTTATCCATAAAAAAACGACATTCCAGGGAAAACAGAATCCGGAATATCGGAAAGAATCCCCCAGGAGAGCACCAAGAGGGAAGGGAGTGGTTGGAAGGGACAAATCTCACTTTTCCCTCCTCAGAAAACATGGAATAGGAAAGAAGGTCAGTTAATTAAATATTAATTGAATTAATTTAAATAAAATATTCATCACCAAACGCAGGGAGGGCGGAGCCAAATCCCAGCTTCCAAATCCGGATCCCAGGAAAAGGCAAAGCCAGGGAAAAAGGAGGGTTTCCAGCTGAAACTACCCATGGAAAATTAAAATTAATTATCCAAATTAATTATTGAAATTAATTATTCAAATCAGTAAAAGCAATTCTAATTATCCAGAGTAAGGCAGTGAAAAAAAAAAAATGTTTTAAATCCCGTCTGATCATTCCTGATCCCTTTTAGGATGGATGGAAAATCCATCCGGAATTCTTTGCCTGCCAAAGGGTGGGGAGGTGAAAATGGAAGGAGAAATGGAAAAATTTCACAGGTTGTTTTTTTTTTTTTCCCTTTGGAATCCTTTCGTTTGGAATATTTTTATTCCCAAGGGTGTGGAACACAATCCTTTCTCGTTTTCCTGCGATTCCATCCCTGGGAACGCGCACTGGATCTCCCGGCTTCCCTCAGAGCTGATTCCCTGTATCCCTGGATATTCAGGATCTTTGGAAATGGGATGCAAATCCTCGGGAATAAAATCTGCTCCATCAAATCCCACGTGGAAAATTCCGCCAGGAGCGCCTCCATCGCTTCCCTTGGGAAATTCCAGTGGGTCGGCGGTCATGGAACTCCACATGGATCAACCTGGATTTGATTCCCACCCTCCGAACATCTGGATTTAGTCTTGGGAATGCCCTTAGCAGGAATCACCTTCACATTCCCAGGAGATCTCCCACACTGGAGGACTCGGATCAATTCCCTATTGGATCCCAGTTGGATCCACTCCCTTCCCAGGAATCACCACCACATTCCCAGGAGATCTGGATCCCAGTTCCTTCCCAGGCCTTCTGAGGAATCACCACCACATTCCCAGGAGATCTCCCACATTGGAGAACTTGGATCGATTCCCTGTTGGATCCATTCCCTTCTGTGGAATCACCACCACATTCCCAGGAGATCTCCCACACTGGAGGACTCGGATCAATTCCCTATTGGATCCCAGTTAGATCCACTCCCTTCCCAGGAATCCCCACCACATTCCCAGGAGATCTCCCACACTGGAGGACTCGGATCAATTCCCTATTGGATCCCAGTTAGATCCACTCCCTTCCCAGGAATCCCCACCACATTCCCAGGAGATCTCCCTCCTTGGAGAACTTGGGTCGATTCCCTGTTGGATCCATTCCCTTGTGTGGAATCACCACCACATTCCCGGGAGATTTGGATCCCGGTTGGATCCATTCCCTTCTGAGGAATCACCTCCACCAAATTCCCAGGAGATTTGGATCCCAGTTGGATCCATTCCCTTCCATACTCCCATGGGATCTCCCAAATTGGAGGACATGGATCAATTCCCCGTTGGATCCCAGTTGGATCCATTCCCTTCCCATGAATCACCTCCCCACTCCCAGGAGATCTCCCACATTGGAGGACATGGATCGATTCCCTGTTGGATCCACTCTCTTCCCAGGAATTACCTCCACATTCCCAGGAGATCTCCCTCCTTGGAGGGCATGGATCGATTCCCTGTTGGATCCACTCTCTTCCCAGGAATTACCTCCACATTCCCAGGAGATCTCCCTCCTTGGAGGGCATGGATCGATTCCCTGTTGGATCCACTCTCTTCCCAGGAATTACCTCCACATTCCCAGGAGATCTCCCTCCTTGGAGGGCATGGATCGATTCCCTGTTGGATCCACTCTCTTCCCAGGAATTACCTCCACATTCCCAGGAGATCTCCCTCCTTGGAGGGCATGGATCGATTCCCTGTTGGATCCACTCTCTTCCCAGGAATTACCTCCACATTCCCAGGAGATCTCCCTCCTTGGAGGGCATGGATCGATTCCCTGTTGGATCCACTCTCTTCCCAGGAATTACCTCCACATTCCCAGGAGATCTCCCTCCTTGGAGGGCATGGATCGATTCCCTGTTGGATCCACTCTCTTCCCAGGAATTACCTCCACATTCCCAGGAGATCTCCCTCCTTGGAGGGCATGGATCGATTCCCTGTTGGATCCACTCTCTTCCCAGGAATTACCTCCACATTCCCAGGAGATCTCCCTCCTTGGAGGGCATGGATCGATTCCCTGTTGGATCCATTCCCTTTCCAGGAATCACCTCCACCTTCCCAGAAGATTTGGATCCCGGTTGGATCCATTCCCTTCCACACTCCCAGGAGATCTCCCAAGTTGGAGCACTCAGCTCGATTCCCCATTGGATCCCAGTTGGATCCACTCCCTTCCCATGAATCACCTCCACACTCCCAGGAGATCTCCCTCCTTGGAGGACATGGATCGATTCCCTGTTGGATCCATTCCCTTCTGAGGAATCACCTCCACATTCCCGGGAGATTTGGATCCTGGTTGGATCCATTCCCTTGGCTCGATCCATTCCCACTCGGCTCGATTCCCCATTGGATCCCGGCTGGACCCATTCCCACAAAACCCAACAGCTCCGCTTCTGCTCCATCCAGAGCCGGTTTCCCGGCGCGATTCCCAGCCCGCCATTCCCGGCATTCGGCGGGATGCGCAGCGGGGAAGGTCCCGGGATGGGTCAGGGGGAGAGGTGGGGCCGGAAGGCGCGCGGCCGGATCATCATCACCACCTTCCGCAGGGAATAATAGTCCGTGTCCTTCCAGGAATACCACACGATCCCGTCCGGGCCCAGCATCTTCCGGTTTTTGATGGAATATCGGCCGCCCTGGGGAGCACAGGAAGGAGCTCAGGAATGGTAAAAAAAAACCCACAAAAATACAGCAAAAAAACCCAAAATACAAACATGTAAAAAAAATCCCATAAAAACACCAAAATCGGTAAAAAATAAATTAATTTGGTTTGGTTCTTGCTATTTTTTAAAATTTTAATTGCTTTTAATAAAGTATTCTTTATACACTTTTAAAGTTTGAAATTTACTTTACCTTCCTCCTAGTCCTACCTCGCAACAAAAATTAAATACATTAATAATAATAATAATAATAATTACACTAATCATAATATTATTAATATATTGTTATAATATATAATTATATTACAATATTATGTTTTATTATTACAATATAGAATGGAAATATTGTAATATTATGCTATTATTAGTATATTATTAGAATGATATTTTGATTGTTAATATTATTAATATTATTATATAATTACTATTATAATAATAAATAATAATATTAATAATACAGTAATAATAATAATAATAATGGTTAACCAAAACCAAACCCACCACACTTATCAACACATTACATTAAAAAATCTCAAAAATAAAAAATAATAAAAATTAAAATAAATTAATTGAATTACTCTTACCAAACAAAATTACAAAATTAAATTAACAAAATTAAATCAACAAAATTAAATTAATTGTTAATTAAAATGACGAACCCAAACCATTACAAGTGGGAAACACTTGGAAACATCTTTAGGATGGGATCATGGAAAAAACAACCACTTGGAAATACGGGAACAAGATTGGGAATGCTGGGAATGCTTGGATCCAGCCCCAGGGGACTTTTCCAGCCTCAACAATTTGGGAATGATCTCCCAGGGAATGAGGGATGGGATGGGAGGGAATGGCCTCCAGCTGTGCCAAGGAAGGTTTAGCTGGATTTTGGGAATAATTCCTGCCTGGAAAGGGTTTCCCAGCCCTGGGCTGGGGCCGATTTCCCATTCCTGGATGGATTTGGGAGGACACGGATCAGTGGCAAGATCGCAAATACTGGGAATGCTTGGATCCAGCCCTGGAGAACTTTTCCAACTGCACCAATTCCAGATGGGAGGGAATGGCCTCCAGCTGTGCCAAGGAAGGTTTAGCTGGATTTTGGGAATAATTCCTGCCTGGAAACAGATTTCCAGCCCTGGGCTGGGGCCGATTTCCCGTTCCTGGATGGATTTGGGAGGACACGGATCAGTGGCAGGATTGGGAATGCTGGAATGGTTGGATTCAAACCCAGAGAAGTTTTCCAATCTCAATAATTTGGGAATGATCTCCCAGGGAATGAGGGATGGGAGTGGAGGAAACGGCCTCCAGCTGTGCCAGGGGAGGTTTAGTTGGATTTTGGGAATAATTCCTGCCTGGAAACGCATTTCCAACCCTGGCCTGGGGCAGATTTCCCATTCCTGGATGGATTTGGGAGGACACGGATCAGTGGCAGGATCAGAAATGCTGGAATACTTGGATCCAGCCCCAGAGAACTTTTCCAACCTCAACAATTCTGGAATGATCTCCCAGGGGATGAGAGGGGGGATGGGATGGGATGGGATGGGATGGGATGGGATGGGATGGGATGGGATGGGATGGGATGGAACGGCCTCCAGCTCTGCCAGGGGAAGTTTAGTTGGATTTTGGGAATAATTCCTGCCTGGAAACGCATTTCCAACCCTGGGCTGGGGCAGATTTCCCATTCCTGGATGGATTTGGGAGGACACGGATCAGTGGCAGGATCAGAAATGCTGGGAATACTTGGATTCACCCCTGGAGAACTTCTCCAACCTCAACAATTCCACGATTCCCAGAGCAACACCCTCTCTCCTCACACCCCCCCCTGTCTCCACCCCGCCTTTCCTTCACATCCATCCCGCTGATTTCAAGCGGGAAAATTAATCTCCAGCCGGGAAAAAAAATTCCCGAGCCCCTCCCGGCCTTCACCTTGTAGTAGACGCCGTTGAGGTTGGAGAAGAAGCACTGGTGGTACCACCAGCCCCCGTGGGAAATCTCGGCGCAGATATTCCCGGAATCCGGCGTGCTGAAGCTCCTCTTGTCGTGGTACCAGGCGAAGGAATCCTCCACGGTGCCGCTGAACCCGTCCACGTGCAGCCGGTAGAAGTTTTCCTCGTCCTCGATGCTGCGGGAGCAAAGGAATTTTTTTCCCTTGGGATTGTCGGGATTCCATGGGAGTTTTGGGAGTTTTCGTTTTCCGGCAGGGATTGGGCGTTCCTGAGGCGTGGCGGATCTGGGCTGCATCCCTGCTGGGATTTATCTCCTCGAAAAGTCGAGGGTGAGGAGGGGTTTTCCCTTCTGTGGGATGGGTGTGGTCAGGAATTTGGGAATTTCGGGGTGAAACGGGTGGAGCGAGACTGGGAAACCAGGACAAAGGAATGTGGGAGCCTTGGGAAAAATTCCATTTAATTGTCCAGCGCTCTACACTTAAGGAGCGTCCCGGAGATGGAGATAATTAGTGGAATCATGGAATTGTGGAATGGTTCGGGTGGGAATGGACCCTAAAGCCCATCCCATCCCAACCCTGACACTTCCCGTTATCCCAGGTTGCTCCAGGGATATGGCAGGGCATGGAATGGGATGGGATTGAAGGCCCCTTCCCAGACAAACCGTTCCGGGATCTTCTGGAGCTGCTCCAGGCTGGAATTCTGTCCCAGCAGATAAATAATTTATCCAGCTACAAGGGGAAAAATAATAAGATCCAGGGAATCCCTGGAGCTGCTTCCTGAGCCTTGAGGGGCTCCAGGAGAGCTAGGATTTGGGAAAGGGCTGGAGGGCCAGGAACCAGGGAATGGCTTCCAGTGGGAAAGGGGATCCTGGGATGGTGGGATCTTGGGAAGGAATTCCCGGCTGGGCTGGAATTCCCAGAGGATCCCTGCATCCCTGGGAATATCCAAGGAAATGTTGGATGGGCTTGGAGCACCCTGGGATAGTGGGAGGTGTCCATGGGATGGGATTTGAGGTCCCTTCCCACACAAACCATTCTGGGATTCTGGGATTATGGATATTCGAAATCCATTCAGGGGGATTTTGATGGAATTCAGAGATGGAAAAGGGAAGGGAGACACTTCCTGGAGTCCCCACTTCCCAGTGAAGCCCCTGGATCCCAAAATTCCTTCTCCAGGAGGAATCAGGATGGGGATGGATCCAATGCCAGGCTGGGAGAGCTGGGAATGTGCAGCTGCATCAGGGAAGGATCCAGGGAATCCTTGGAGTGGATTTTGGGAATAATTCCTGCCTGGAAACAGATTTCCAGCCCTGGGCTGGGGCCGATTTCCCGTTCCTGGATGGATTTGGGAGGACACGGATCAGTGGCAGGATTGGGAATGCTGGAATGGTTGGATTCAAACCCAGAGAAGTTTTCCAATCTCAATAATTTGGGAATGATCTCCCAGGGAATGAGGGATGGGAGTGGAGGAAACGGCCTCCAGCTGTGCCAGGGGAAGTTTAGTTGGATTTTGGGAATAATTCCTGCCTGGAAACGCATTTCCAACCCTGGGCTGGGGCAGATTTCCCATTCCTGGATGGATTTGGGAGGACACGGATCAGTGGCAGGATCAGAAATGCTGGGAATACTTGGATTCACCCCTGGAGAACTTCTCCAACCTCAACAATTCCACGATTCCCAGAGCAACACCCTCTCTCCTCACACCCCCCCCTGTCTCCACCCCGCCTTTCCTTCACATCCATCCCGCTGATTTCAAGCGGGAAAATTAATCTCCAGCCGGGAAAAAAAATTCCCGAGCCCCTCCCGGCCTTCACCTTGTAGTAGACGCCGTTGAGGTTGGAGAAGAAGCACTGGTGGTACCACCAGCCCCCGTGGGAAATCTCGGCGCAGATATTCCCGGAATCCGGCGTGCTGAAGCTCCTCTTGTCGTGGTACCAGGCGAAGGAATCCTCCACGGTGCCGCTGAACCCGTCCACGTGCAGCCGGTAGAAGTTTTCCTCGTCCTCGATGCTGCGGGAGCAAAGGAATTTTTTTCCCTTGGGATTGTCGGGATTCCGCGGGAGTTTTGGGAGTTTTCGTTTTCCGGCAGGGATTGGGCGTTCCTGAGGCGTGGCGGATCTGGGCTGCATCCCTGCTGGGATTTATCTCCTCGAAAAGTCGAGGGTGAGGAGGGGTTTTCCCTTCTGTGGGATGGGTGTGGTCGGGAATTTGGGAATTTCGGGGTGAAACGGGTGGAGCGAGGCTGGGAAACCAGGACAAAGGAATGTGGGAGCCTTGGGAAAAATTCCATTTAATTGTCCAGCGCTCTACACTTAAGGAGCGTCCCGGAGATGGAGATAATTAGTGGAATCATGGAATTGAGGAATGGTGTGGGTGGGAATGGACCCTAAAGCCCATCCCATCCCAACCCTGACACTTCCCGTTATCCCAGGTTGCTCCACGGATATGGCAGGGCATGGAATGGGATGGAATTGAAGGTCCCTTCCCAGACAAACCGTTCCGGGATCTTCTGGAGCTGCTCCAGGCTGGAATTCTGTCCCAGCAGAGAAATAATTTGGGAAGCAGCTCCAAGGAGAAAAAAAATAGGATCCAGGGAATCCCTGGAGCTGCTTCCCAAGCCTCAAGGGGCTCCAGGAGAGCTGGGATTTGGGCAAGGGCTGGAGGGCCAGGAACCAGGGAATGGCTTCCAGTGGGAAAGGGGATCCTGGGATGGTGGGATCTTGGGAAGGAATTCCCGGCTGGGCTGGAATTCCCAGAGGATCCCTGCATCCCTGGGAATATCCAAGGAAATGTTGGATGGGCTTGGAGCACCCTGGGATAGTGGGAGGTGTCCATGGGATGGGATTTGAGGTCCCTTCCCACACAAACCATTCTGGGATTCTGGGATTATGGATATTCGAAATCCATTCAGGGGGATTTTGATGGAATTCAGAGATGGAAAAGGGAAGGGAGACACTTCCTGGAGTCCCCACGAAAAGGGAAGGGAGACCCTTCCTGGAGTCCCGAATTCCCAGTGAAGCCCCTGGATACCAAAATTCCTTCTCCAGGAGGAATCAGGATCCAACTGAGTTGGATCAGGATGGATCCAACTCAGGAGAGCTGGAGAGGGATTTGGGAAAAGGGCCTGGAATGGCAGGACAGGGAATGACTCCCACACCCAGAGGGTCGGGATCTCGGGATTTTGGGGTCTTGGGAAGGAATTCCTTGCTCGGCTGGAATTCCCAGAGAATCCCTGGATCCCTGGGAATGTCCAAGGAAAAAGCTGGATCACCCTGGGACAGTGGGAGGTGTCGGTTGGAACAGGATGGGATTTAAGGCCCTTTCCCACCCAAACCATTCCAGGATTTATCATTCCCTACGCCTGCTTTGAACCCAAATCACGGAATATCCGGATGAAACCCACCAGGATCATCCCTCCAACTCCTGGACACCCCAAAATTCCCACCAGAGCATTTCCCAAACCCTCCCGGATCTCCGGCAGCTTTGCGAACGCCCCCCACTCCCTTGGGAGCAACCCTTGGAATGGCCGGGATCCAACAAATCCCCGTGGAATTCCGGACCTTCCGTGTCCATCTCGCAGAGGACCTCGATGGGAATTCCGCGGACCGAGGGCAGGATGCTGTAAATCCCGGATCTCCGGAGCCCGTTGTAGTAGACGGAAGCGCAGTCGATGGGACAATTCCGGCCGTGTTTGATTTCTGGGAATGCGAAACAGGCGGTTACAGCTTTTCCCAAAAATATGAAAAAGCTGGAAAAAAAAAAAAAAAGAAAAGAAAAAAAAATCCTGGATTTGGAGGTTCAGGGGTGAAGTTTTGGCAGTGAGGGTTCCAGTGGTGGCTGGGGGTTTTTCCAGGGTTTTCCAGAGCCTAAAGGGGATTGCTACAGGGGAAATCGGAAATTATTCCATGGAGAATCCCAAATTACTCCAGGCAAAATCCCGCAGTATTCCAGGGAAAATCTGAATTTTTTCCAGGGAGAATCTGAAATTATTCCAGGGAGAATCTGAAATTTTTCCAGGGAGAATCTGAAATTATT